CGCTGCTTCCTAATTGGTTTCTCCTGGTCTACGCTTCTCTCCATGAGCCTGTTTTCAACACAGCAGCCCGTGTGAGCCTTTTAAATAAAAAATCGGTCGATGATCAATGCCCTGCAATGGCTCATTTCACTCGGCATAACAGTTCAGTCTCTTACTTACCATGGCTTACCAGGCCCTCCACGACCTGCCGCTGCTCCCATCCCTGGTTCCACCTGTTCTTTTTTCCTATATTTCATTTCCTGTCTCCACCTACCAGAAAGTAAGCTCCACAAGCACAGGGATCTCTTTTGTTCACTGCTGAATTCAAAGCACCCAGACCGGCATATAGTAGATGCTCAATAATATTTGTCGCATGAATGCACGTAGACAGTGTAGTGCATGCACTCTGCGGTGCACGCCGAGAAACTGGTAACCATGGTTACCTCCGGAGAGGAGAGCTAGGGACTAGGGTAGGTGTAGGAGGGAACTTATCTTTTACTATCCTTTACTCTAAGTGTATATTAACTTTACAAAAAGAAAAGTAAAATCGGCCCAGAGGAAAAGGAGTTAGCAGAGAAGGCTGAGGAAGAGCTGGTCCCTGGCAGTGGCCGGAGGGCCCCATCTTCCCTCTCTAGGCCAGCTCCCCTGGAAAGATGGGGGGTAATAACCGGGCCCCGAGAGGCACCAGGGAATGATGGGTAGAGGGCCCAGGGACACTTCGAATGAGGCCTGTGGCTGGCTCTGAGGTGGCGGGGGCTGTGAGCGGGCACATCGGTGAGCGTGAGCCGAGGCGGAGTGATTCAGTGAAAGCACGTGTTGGTGGCTGACCCAGGGGGGTGGGGGGAGCGAAGAGCCATTCTGCTCCTTCTGGCCGTTGGTGTCCTGCGATGGGCCCCAGGGACCTGTGTGGCCAGCAGAGGTGCCTGTCCCTCGCAGCTGAGTGAGCTGGAGAGGCAGGGCCCTATTCCCTGGGCGAGCGAGCTGGGGGCTAGTGTCAGCCCGGGGCTTTTCTCAGGGTCCTGGGAGGCAGGGGCTGGCCAGACCAGGCCTCCTATTGGGGTTCCCATCCTGTCCTGAGGCACAGGGCCTCACAAAAGGAGACCCCGCCCAAGCTGGACCTGTGCCTGCCCGCAGGTTGGGAGGAAGCTGGCCTTTCCACCCTCCACCCACCCCACCCACCTGGTTTTCGGTCTGGGTTCCATCGCGGAAGACCGCCTTCCCTCCTGGCTCCAGACCTTTCCAGGCTCGCTTTTTCTGACTCCCCTTCAGACACTGAGAACTCTGGGTCTCAAGGCCTATTTATTGTATACACAGCTCAGTGATTCGCAAACAATATTAGGGGCAGCCCATTCCTGGCACTAAGAGGATACGGCACCATCTGGGCTGGTGGGCTCACTGTGCCAGGCTTGGAGTGCCAGGTCCTGCCGCAGTCTCATTAGGGTCCTAGCCAAGGTCCTGTGCACCAGAGGTCCACTGGGTGGGGTGTGTGTGGGGGGCGGGGGTGGGGAATGGAGGCCCAGAGATAGGCAGGGCTGACAGCCGGCACTAACTCAGCAGGATCCACACTGCACTCATTGTTTGTGGCCCATCCTTGGTCAAGCGCAGCTGGCCCAGGAGTCTCGGTGGGGGCTGGGCTGGGCACTACAGAAGAGAATGGGGCGCTGAGAGGCAGGCTGTGCCACAGACGCTGCGGCCGAGCCTCCTGCCTGCCCTACTCCGCCCACCTGAGCCACGCCAGCCACGGGTGCGGGCAGGGGGGCAGCTCCCCGCTGCCACTAATCCAGCAGCTCCTTGATGCACCAGCAGCAGAGGAGGATGTAGGCGACTTCCTTCAGGGTCCGCTGTAGGCCCTCCCACCCGGTGCCCATCTTTATGACGGGCACCCGGAGCCCCGCATCTCGCAGGACCCCTCCCAGGGAGAAGGGCAGGGCTTGGGCGAGGGGCTGCGTCCGGGCCTGCATGTCGCAGCAGCTCTGAGGAAGGGTGTGGGAGCCGCCTCTGGTGCCTTTTATCAGCACTGTCCCCACCCCCTCAGACCTCATGACTCAGGGACAAAGGCCCCAGGGTCTAGCCCAGGGAAGGTTCTGGGCCTGAGAATGGGCTGAGTCAGCCCCTGAGCACAGCCCTGGGGGGGGAGGGGGGTCAAGAGGAGGGCCTGGCGCCTCCATCTTTCACCCTCCACGGCCCTGCCCCGCTGCCTCTACTCCTGGTGGTTGGCACGATTCCTGGCCCCCTGGCGCTGGGACTCCCCGCCCGCGCCACGGGTGGGCTCCTGCTGCTGCTGGCACTCAGAACCCGCAGTGAGGGCTCCGTCTCGGCCTGTTCTGCCCCCACGCCAGCGCTGCCAGCTCAGGGCTGGCCCGGCCCAGCCCCCTCTGCTTCTCCCATCCCCTGGAGCAGGAAGACACAGCCAGAGCCACAGGCACCAGCCGAGGCCCAGTTTATTGAGTTTCCGCCCAGGACAGCCTCCTCCGCCCCTCCGGGAGGGGCAGCGGTTGGCAGTCACGGTCACGTGCGGGAGTTCCGCTCTTGGTCCTCATTCTCAAGCAGGTAGGCTGGCCGGTAGGTGAGCTGTCCTCCTGGGCCCAGGTACTTCAGGGCCGGGTTCCGCACTGTGTTCTCCTTGCTCCCCAGGGACGTGTAGCTGGAGCCAGAAGAGTCGAGGGTGAGTGTGTGGTGAGGTGGCTCCCGAGCCCAGCGCCTGCGTCTCCCCACACCAGTCCTCCCCCGGGACCTTACCCTCGGTCATACAGGATGCAGTACGGGACAAAGAGCTGACGCAGAAAGTCCCAGATGTCTCTGTAGGTCCAGTCCTGGGAGGGGGGGTCAGAGAGTCAGAGAAGGGTCACAAATACTACTGCCCTCTCCTGCTGCACCCCTGCCGCCTGGGAAGGGGCCCACCCAGGGCCCCCTGCTCCCGCGGCCTCTGATGGCAGGCGTGCGACCCAGCTCGCTGGTACACCCTGCTCTGTGCAGGCCAAGCTGTGAGGAAGAGAGGCCCTCGCCCTGTGCCCGCTCCACTCCCGGCCCTCCCGCCACGGGCTCCAGCATGGGGAGGGGCTGGCCTTGCAAGCCTGCGCTGTCCGGAACATTCTGCGGTGACGGAAGTGCCCTCCTCCTGGGCTATCTAACGGTGGGCACCTGCCATGTGGTGAATGCAACTCAAGAACTGAATTCTGAATTGTGTTTAATTTTTAAAATCGAGACATAATTCACATGCCATTGCAATTCATCCCTTTATGGTATACGATTCAGTGGTTTCTTTGTTTTTTAGCCATTTTTATTTCATTTTAATTTGAGTGTAAGTCAATGGCTAGTGGCCTCCACGCTGGACAGCATAGGCCTAAGTCACTGTTCCGTCCACAGCAAAACACACAATGCCTGCCAGTGAATTACTGCTCCATGAATATCGGTCAAAAGGCTGAATGAACAAACAGCACAGCCTCCCCTGAAGGACGGGGCCCCTTTGTCCAGGCCCCGGGCTCTGGCATCCCCCGCCTTGGGGGCCAGGGTGCACGACTGCTGAGGGCCACGAGGCTGGAGGGGGCAGTCCGCGCGGCATTACCAGCAGTGGGTTGACACGCATGAAGGAGGGCCAGCCCGGGTCGGTGGGGCTGAAGGGGCAGAGGCTGCAGGAGTAGGGGTCCGTGCGGCGAGTGCCCATCAGGACGGCCTCCAGCTTGGGGTGCCGTGACTGCAGCTGGCTCAGGGCCTGCTTCATGTCGCCCTGAGCCTCCAGCACCTGCAGATTGTACCTGAGGACAGGAGGGGCGGGGTCACGAACGGCCTGCCACGCCCCTCTCAGTGCCCAAACTCCCAGGCCCCTCGTACCTCTTGATGGTGTCCTGTAGAAACTGCTCCAGCTCAGGGAAAGGGGAGACGCTGCGGATGTACAGGATCTGGAGGCGTTCTGGAGCCTCGGGGCGCTTCCTGGGGAGGGGAGAATCCAGCACGGGCAGGGAAACCTCCCTGGCCCCCAGGATGGACGCCCTCCCCGCCTCCCCTTCGTCGTCCGTCCCTTCCATCAGAATCCACCGCCTCTGATCTCTCACCTCTCAAATTGGGGCACACATTCC